TAAATAATGAGTCGTTTTCCCATATTCAACTATTTTGTTTTGCATTTTAAATAAGAAGTTAAACTGAGAGGGTTATGATAAAATTGGACGTAATCGTAACTCGTTGGATATACCTATGGATGGTAGTTATAGTCCAATATACTGCGTAATTTTTGCAGAGGACAGAAAGATTCTGTATTAGAGATGGAAAGGTAAAAATGAAAGAGCNGGATTTGACTTTAAAGTATTTAAATTTCATCGCACAGTTATCATTGGATTCTCATCCAAAATGTATCTTAATAGATTTTAATAGTGACTCAATAAATACAACGACCTTACAAACTGTGCTGCTGAAAGCCTGGGACTTGAAGTTTTTGGACTTCACCACAATGGCAATTGGTTTAGGTAACGTTATGATACAATGTTACAATCCATTTACTAAAGAGTTTATTTCTGAATGTTTCACAATTTAGATTACAAAGTTAATCTAAAACTTATAGATCTTTAAAATATAACTTTTTTATATTCAAGATTTTTATCTGTAAGATAAAACTAACGCATAAATTGCCAAAAATAATAAAATAATAGCTTGTTCAGAATGCATACAGTTGACGCTCCAGGCAAAGTTAGGGGTGATAATCATTATTCTGAGGCTTGCTTCTCTTCATCCCGTGAGATGTGGAAATTTTTCCACCAACCCTGGACCGAAAGTACACACTTTAGACACAGTGTGTCAATAACAGTAATATACTCCCTCATATAAGTCGTGCCTAATACTCAAAAACTGCGTTTTTTTCTTGCTGCATGAATTAAGCCTCTTGTTTCACTATAATATTTCATCATTATGAATTAACTGCAGGCAGTTATACGACTCATGATTTGTGTTTAATGATCCAAAAAACAGCAAATGATAAATAAACACATGTGTAAGCCGATGATTACACTGAAATTTTTTTTTAAGCTATTGGAACAACATTTTTGCTTGTACAGATTTAAAATTTATAACCTTCATCAAGTTCAAATAATAAATATATGTAAATATAATACAATATTCGCTGATAACACACCTAACGCGTTGCCATCGCAGGTCTCAGTAGTGATTAATTATTTGAACCTGATGAGGGCCTTGAATCTTAATTCTGTATATGAGCCAAAATGTTCTAATAATAATAAACAAAACTGGCCAGCATAATCATTGGGGTGCACATATTATTAGTTCTATGATTACTTCAAAATTTAGTGCTATAAATAGGTAATGAACTTCCTTTAGTGGCTTGGGCGATTTTTATTGGAATGATAACAATCCTTGAAATTTTGAAATTATGTAAGTAACGCGTACCTAATTAATTTGTGATAAAAAAATACTACGGTCAACCACATAATTTTTCAGAAAATCACTACTGAAAATTAACCAATGTAACACGCAATCTTATGGGATTTATCACTAAAACGACTGTAACTCAAATAGTAAACGATAAACGTTTACAAACAAAAACTGTATTTATACCTTTTTTTTATGAGTAATCTTTTGGAATTATAAAAATTATATGTGAACCACTGAGACTTTAAGAAAATTACGAGAAAAGTGATTTATCGGCTTTTGCGCATGCGCAAATTAAAATGATGAATTTTTTTTTTTTATCGATATTTTATAACTTCTGAGGTCAATAAAACTCTGAAATTTCAATATGTAATTTATATATTCAATAACCATGACAATGAACAAAGAGTATTTTTTATAATCCATAGAACCTTAAAGGGCCCTTCGCTTGGTACGGCACCAAACTCCCAAGCCACCTTAACCTTTGGAACATAACTTTAATGCCCCCACTATCGTAGTGTTAGTTCTGGCATATAGTAAATTTACAAATTGTTTACATGCCATAAAGAGTATCACGAATTAATATGGGCCTTGTTGAATATGATTCTATAATTGACGAAATTTTTAGCCAAGCTTGTACCGTCACGTTATCATTTTAATCACAAAAACTTTTCAAGTGGTTCATTGTCTCAGTAACTATTGAAGGAAACTTGATATTAAAAAATTTTTTAAATTATTTTAGTAGATTAAAAACTACGTAGAAAGAGCTAGTTTGCACTTTTAACGTATACAACCGTAGCAAGCAAAGCATTATATGCATTAGTAAAGGAGAACCGATCGATCTCAGCACAGGAATTGACCCATGTCAAAAAAACTCGGCAACCATCACACTTACCGGAAGTAGTATAACAAAGACAGGATTAATTGATGTCTTTAATTTTTACGTCTTCCACGGAACAGTACTTTTAGGACTGAATTGATGATTTTAGGAAGAAATTTTTGTTAATTTTTTTTGATGATTGAAAATCAAAGTAAAATTATGATAGTTTAAGATGCTCTGAATTTTTAGATATCGGATCTTTTTTAAACTATTGAAATCAAAAACTTGTATGCATTTAATAAATCAAAAATATTCTTAGAACTCTTCAAAACAGCAGAAAATAATATTTTATCTTCAAAACTTCTATTAAAATGAAAAATTAATAATTTATGTCCAAAAATATTCAGCATTGCATGATATTATGTCCACCATATACTAGCACCATCTTGACTACAACCAATTAATTTATTTTGTTTAGGAACATAAGTCAAACTTGTCATACGGATTATATTGATAACGATCATGTGTTTATGTCCGCTTATTGGACGTGAATCTTTTTAAGGCTGGAAAACTCTAATGAAGTTACGATACCAAACATTGAATCCTTATCTGGCATGTTGACAAATCATGTCTAAAACGTGACAACCTCAATTTGCGTTACTAAGATAAAAAAACACAGGGTATGAGAGATTCTACTGAATTAGTGTAGCTTTGAACGTGAATAAGATCAGAAGAAAAAATTACTGTAAAGTATGTGCCGTACAAAAGTATGGATTTATTTTTATATTATAATTTGTATTAAAAGAGCCATGATCGTTGCAAATAAGAGCAGTGATAGTTGGACTCCAATTCTGATTCAATACATACAACAGCAGCACTTTCATCAAGTCATGGTTTTTTATAATCATTACAACTTATCGACAGAATACAATCATATATTACAAAAGCTGATGTCTCAACTGCCTATTATCCAAGTTGATCCGTTGAAATATGATACCAAACGCACACTGCAAAGCTCTAGATCTACTACTTTCTACATAATATTCCAAAAATCTATGGTTCGCTACAACAAGGATTTGGATTTGACTTTAAAGTATTTGAATTTCATCGCACAGTTATCATTGGATTCTCATCCAAAATGTATCTTAATAGATTTTAATAGTGACTCAATAAATACAACGACCTTACAAACTGTGCTGCTGAAAGCCTGGGACTTGAAGTTTTTGGACTTCACCACAATGGCAATTGGTTTAGGTAACGTTATGATACAATGTTACAATCCATTTACTAAAGAGTTTATTTCTGAATTATACACAATTAAATCGGAACTTTTCCCTGATAAAACTGCCAACATGAGCGCCTATGAGCTCAAAATGCCCTACATGGATACAGTACCTTACATCGAACACGTTAATGGTAATGAGTACGAAGGAATTGACTACAACTTGATCAAAGAGGTAGCTAGTATTATACATTTTAAACCTGTGATGCTGAACTATACGTCAGGATACGGTGCATTGGAACGCTCCGTCGAGGACTTAAAATCTGGTGTTGTGAATCTCCTGCCATATACGATATTGTCATCTCAACCACTAGTCTACAATAATACCAATATTGTGAAAGGGATTACCATTTACTTCGAAAAAATTTGCGGCATGGTATCATCGTCTTCGTTGAATATAAAAGAGAGAAAGATTCCCGTGGAAGCTGTTATATTTTTTGTTGTTAGTCTTATTGTGACATTTTTTATTTTCGTTTTCGCAAATCATTTGGGAATTATTAAGACAAATCCTCTAACTATCATCCAGATGACTCTGGGTCTATCGGGTGTGAGATTTCCACGTAATATAGTGGGGAGGATCGTCTTTCTTTGCATAATAATTTCAGCAATGGCTTTCTCAGAAAGTATTTATGCAAAACTAACGGAATCAAAACTTTCAAGTAAGCCCATATCCTTGAAAAATTTTAAAGACGTTGTGAATTCTAAGTTAAAACCTTATGCTAATGAAGCAATACATCAATGGATGTTTGTGGATTCATACGATACTTGGCTTCAAAAAATAAAATCTATCACCAATATTGCTTCAGCGAGTAGTTGCTTTGAGTATGTATTAAAATTTAACTCAATGATTTGGTTAATAAATCACCTATGTATTAAAATTATTATTACCACTTATAGGTATATAGTTAAGGAAGAACGAGTTATCTGTTTTACATTTGAGAACAAAGCATATATGTTCTCGGAATTACACAAGAGCAACAGTTATTCATCCAAGCTAAAAATTACGGATGTTAAATTTTTGAATAGTGGAAGGAGCTTTATGTTTGAAAAAAACTCTCCTTTTGTAGACAAATTTGACAAAATTCTGTCAGTGGTACTTGAATCAGGTCTGCGGGAGCTTCATTTACGCAAAAATAAGAAACAAAAAGTACTTGGCAATAGAACAAACGCAATAAGCATCGACAACTTTGTATTAATCAAAGAAATATTCGTAGTCCTAGTTATTGGTTTTTTGGCATCACTTCTCATTTTTTATATTGAACTTATGTATTGCTTCTATACTGAGTTAAAAATGTATTACTCTTTAGTTAATAGAGTTTAAAGTTTTTTATTTCATTACTGTTACTTTTCTATTCATCAGGGATACAAGGTCCATGACATACAACTTTACGAATTTTCATGAAAATTGCTGTTACCTGTTAAGAATACTTATTGGCTACATCATTTTGACTAAAATAACCTAGAGTGCTAGCTTATAAGAATAAGATTTTTTTGTACAAGCTAACAGAAAATATTAAGTAATGAAAAGGTATTGGTGACAGTTCCTTAGATATAGCTGAAACATATTTGTGTACAATGTTAAAATCAGTTGTACTCACAGAAGCAAGTATGGTGACGAGATAGAGTCGCGTCCTCTCGTAGTCAAGGGTGCGGTTAACAGTCACCTGTCCCTGATGCGGTAGATTGATGCTGAAATAACCATATCCATCGGCTGTGGTGATGTGATCGTGACCCATGCCATCGCCATTACCGATGCCAATGCCATCTCCAGGAGCTATCGAGTACTCTACTAGACCGTTGACTCCCGCATCTGCGTCGTTAGCGACAACGTTTTTGAAAATGGTTGATCCCACTGGTGTTAACTAAAACACGAATTTCGGATATATAAGATTTTTAACAACCCATACTAAGAATTTTTGTTTAGCATCCAAAACTTTAAGTTTTTATCAAGTTTATTTGATTGCATCCCTGAGTTTATCGATGAAATTCTTGCAAAAATAGTTTTACAAAAATTGAAAGTAAATAAATCTGGGAGTTTTTAATCTTGGCCATAGTATAACAAAAAAAATAAAGCAGAATTAAAAAATATTAGTAATTTAGAATAAATGCTATTGAGTGGTAGGTTGACATGAGTTCTCTAGTTCAAGACGATTGTAATTAATGTATCATATATTATACTGTTAATAAAACCTTACAAACATCAAGTATGTGGTGCCATTTGAGTAAATTATAATAAGAAAATAATTAGTTTTTTTTTTTAATAAAAAACATACAAAATAAACGTTCAAAATGATGTCAAATTCGTTCCAAGAATCTTTTCTTTTTGAGTTGAAAAATTTTTTTTACTGTTTTTGTAATAGCAAATAGAACATGCATAATAAACAAAATTTCACAGCTTATTTACGTTTTTTTTGTTCAAAACTGACGGTACTTTATTTCAAACCTCTGTATACCTTATTCCTCTGTAGTATTTTATCCTAAGCAGTAAAGATCAGATTATTTCCAGTAACTAAAGGAAAAAAAGTTGATTTGAAGTAAAACAAATTCCAAGCGAATTTTCTAAGCTGTTTGATACTTGAAAAAATTTCTGTGACGATGTTTACTATGATCACTATTAAGACAGAAAAAGCCCCAATTGCGTTAACTTTAATGATATCAATCATTTATATACCCCGAATAGCTTATCAGATTAATGGTATTCAATGGAGCACTAGAAGCATCTCACACGTGTTAGAGTCCTTCGGAACTATACGCTACATTTCCATATCAGAATATCTCGTCGCAATGCAAATAGTAAGTAGCTTAATGAGGAGTGTCCAATAAAACTGTTTGTCACGTCAATCCCAACGGTTGTAGAATACGATACTAATCAATCTTACAATAACACCTGATGTTTTTGACCGAACCTCATAAAATAATCAATATATGTAATGTATGACTTAATCAATAAGTAATGATGGGCAACAAAAAGAAGGTAATCTATTATTACCGAATCTTACGTGATTAAATGCAATACAAATAAAAAATTGTTACAACTGCAATAAAAACGATGTTTCCTTAACGGGTGCAACTGCACTGAGAGAAAAAAAATAATAACAATAATAGAAAAATTCCAGCAAATATTACCATTTTTAACAGTAAATCGAATGTAAGCTGACAAAAAATAAAAAAGTTATCATTTTCAACAGTAACAATAATTGGATTAACAGTTAAAATTATGGTTCAAAAAGTGAAAATTATGGTTAAAACAGTAAAAAATTCTATGAGAAAAAGTAAAATTATTAACCGATACTTCCCAGGTTTAATGCTCCAGCATGATAATTTTTACACTTCTAACCATAATTCTAACTATTTAATCTATACTTTTTTACTGTTAAAACAATCTTTACTGTTGAAAATAATAACTTTTCCCTTTTTCACCAGCTTGCATTCGATTTACTGTGAAAAATGGTATAATTTTTGCTGGCATTTCTCTATAATTTTTTTGTCTCAGTGCAGATGCTGTCCTAAAAGGATGATTTTCCTTAAACTGTGAATAAATTCCATCAGTTTTCTTCCAGACTCTTCTTTTATAATTACTTTACTGAACTGATATGTAATTGGAAACTACACGAAAATTAATCGCAATGCCATGAGGGATTAGTTTTCATGTGTTCTAGTAACAAGATTAGAATTTGACCACAATTATACGTATAACTCCAGTCTGAATTAGCGAGTTGTCATTGGCTTACACATAATCGGTGGAATCCACCACATCAACCTCGTTAAATTCAAATCCATTCCCCAGATTAATGGATGACCGTATGAAACAACGTAAACCAATACTGTACTATGTTCTTGTATTTATCTAAATTATGGGAAATGAAATTTAGTGAGACAGTAAACATTTAAAATACTTAGCTTGAACGCGATATTTACAAAATTGTAATTCCAATTTTCTAGTGTCCGGTAACACTTGAACTGTACGATTAGTTTCACTTAAGGAAGCGGTCAACTCGAAAGTAAAACGTGAAACAAAAATAATAACCATCCATCAGCATCTCTTTCTATCTCTTACGCATGACATTTCTCACCCTCGCGCGAGCTTCCTTATTGGTGAAAAGCCGGAGATCCGCGAAACAACAACTTTCCGCGATCGAGGCATCCCCGGCGCGCAAAATTGGTAAGAGGAAGAGAGAAAACGTAGGGAGCAAGAGGGGGGAAATCGATCGGCTGTTCGGACGTTATAAGGTGGAATAATGGAGGCACAGTCGATCCTTTATCCTGGAGGATCATCTCTATTATCGCTTCCCGCATTATATGGCCCCCCTGTTCTCTCGAACCGTTCGTGTACCGATCGCTGCAGTAGACTCGATGTAATCGCTCGGCGCTACTTACTACCACACAATTTTCTCCAATAGCTCGTCTGTACTGGTAAATACGATGAAAGGGGCACGTGATCATGTAATGTATTTAACGCTGGCTTCGTCGACACTGCAAAAGCAGCCCCTTAACGTTTCGACCGGACGTCATGATGCAATTTGTCGTCATTCCGTTAAAAGAGCTATTGTCGTCTTTGATCGGTTAATGTATTCGTTTTTTATGCTGTAATGTCACGCTTGTCAAATTTAAAGTACCTTGTTTACAATAGCTAAAAAGTTAACGTGAAATTTCTGAACCTTAAATCTTTACTGAATAATCAGCGATCGTAGAAATAGCATGTACCTCATTTTTGAACTGGGTCAATTGTATTTTTTAATTAATGTAAAAATATCGGATTTTTCTTTAGCAGTAAACAAAACATTTTTGTAACTAAAAACTCAAACACGATATTTAAAACAAAATTTATTGCTTAGTGTACATTATTGAATTAAGAACGAGCAGTTCATACGAAACTCAGGCATCAATGACATCTTCTTTCTATCAGAACGAAAAAGAGTACTCATTAGAAAAGGTACAAAAAGTTCTTACACCTAAAGCTAAAAGATTTTTTTACGAGGCTGACTTTTTTTCCTGTACCATCAGAAAAGTTTCACTCACAAAGTCACCAAAAAAAGTTTGCTCAGCACTTATTAGTTTCTGTAAAAATCACTGTTGTCGTAGTATTTTAGCTATATTTCTATGAAAACTTTTTTTCGTCCAAAAGTGGTCTAAACATAAGTAGTTATAAAACCTTCTACCTTACTAATCATACTATTTTAAGTTCACAACACACTGACCACCATTTTCCTCATGAACAACTCTTTTATTGAAAAAATAAAAACCAAAATGAATTGTTCTGGACAATTCAAATAATAAATTGATTCAGCAAGACTAATCAAGCATTGAGGAAGGAATCTGAAAAAAATTTAGATAATAGGTAAGATCGAAATTTTGGTTCATATGAATAATATAACCAAACAAAAATGGCATTACTGATGATGTAGCAAAATCTCACTCTGTAGCATAATACACACTAACACTTCTCGATTTTTCAATTACAAAATAAACCCAGTTATATTTTGTATCCCAAGACTTCAATTCCCAATTTATTTTTCATACGTTTCAAGTATCTGTACAATACCCACACATAATCTCCTTGCAACTTTTCACCAGTGAAACTCAAGACTCAACACCATATACAATAACATCCGTAGGAGATCCAAAAACGTAAAAATATCAACTTTAGAATGATATACACATTCCGTATAATCTCTATGTATATTACACCAACATATCGAATGACTTACCTCAGAAACTGTAGTCTCATACGGCGTGTTGTCGAATCTGGGCGCGTTATCGTTGACATCCGTAACTCGGACGATCACCGGGATCTTGCGGTTGCTGTTCGTCGCTCGCACCGTGCAGCTCAGCTATAACAACAACAAAAAAAAAAGATCATTGTAGTAACGAAGCTGCAACACTACCGCTATCCCACCGTGACGGTCGGATAAAGAAAGAAGATTTATCGTCACGTGACTGAAGCCCTTTTTTATTCGTTGTGTAATTGGTTGTGACAGATCCACGAAGCAGGTTCAGTGGGTCGTTTTAAAAATTTATTACATAAAATAGTAGCATTAATCAAAACAATGTAAATTTACAGTAAATGAATTTATTAAAGTTTTTTGCTCTGGTCAAAAACGATTAATCAAAAAACTTTATTTAATTGACGGGAATAAGAAATAAAATTGTGCGCAATAAATATTTTTATTTTGTCATTTTAAACAATTGGTAATGTACGGTGCAAGTGCTATTACTCAAACTCTTTGTTTACTCAATCATTAAAAGTGGTTGTTAAAGATTCAATAAACAAAAATACGTAATGATGAAAAGTTAAGTTAATATGAGGTGTATAATGAAAGAAAATAAAACGAGTGCAAAAAAATATTGGAAAAGGCTCATTATTTTTGATGAGTGTCGTACATGCAAGTATAAAAATAAAATTTTATGACAAAAATAGTAATATGAGATGATAAAAACAGCCGCAAAAATAGTAAAATCGCGCATATCGCGTAGAACCTATCTAACGTAGCTATAGTTTCAGAAAAAAACCCGAGCTTGATCCTCGCAAATTCGCACCAAAATAGATACCATACAGTCTGTGCAAAATCATGCTGGATACGTAACACAGCACTGATAAGCCATTATTTTTCTCGTACACGTATATGTATTTCCGTAAATCGTCGGTTGCTCACAATGTGGTACACAAACGCATCCAAATTATACACCACACGCGCGGGTGAGTCAACGATGACCCTGGAAGATTACCGTCGGCGAATCCTGATTCCCTTTCGCTCGATTATTCGCAGGCGGGTGTACTATGCACATGTGTACGTATATCTGCTTCTCGTCCTATGTGGAGCAAAGCCGGCTTTGCTGCGAGTGATTTCAGCCGCCGAGTTATTGTGCACCTCGCTGCATCCTCCGCTTTTTTTTTTTATCACCGCTGGTTTTCCGTAATGCCGAGAGAGATATTTTTTTCGGTGAGTGGCCGAAAATTGTTTAACATTAATTAAGTACTTAGTTCTCTCGCGTTTGCACGAAAATTTCTCGAAATTTTCTCGAAAATTTAACAACCAAACAATACGCTTTAACTCCACGTCACGCCTTTATTTCATCCACGTTTTCATATACAAGAAACTGGGGCATCGCGATACTAATATCGTATTTATAAGATTTAGGTCACTGTAGTATTTTTCTGAAAAAATTGAAAAACGCTCTTATTTTTTTTATCTTGCCATACAACATGATCCTGCCTCTTTACTGTCTAGAAGTTTATACCAAATTCCAATGTTTAAGCGACACGTTTAAGAGCAGCGATGGAAGTAGTCAAATAAAGAAGTCGAGGGCTATGCTCTCAAAATATTTACGAACAAACAATAATGTTTCGATAATATAGAGAATAAAGATTTTATCAGCACAGCCCTTGACTTTTTCTTTTGACAACCTATTTTTTGAATTTAGTTTGCTTTCTTTAGAGATATTTGTGACCATAGAACTTCTTCAAATTTTGAATTATAAATTGCATTTTAATTTTTACCAAATGAACTGATAATACTTGGTTTTACAAAAAGTTGATGATCAATATTCTTTTATCGGTGAAGTGCTGCGTAATTATAATTAATACTTTTATTCAACATTGAATTCATTACAAAGTTACCCAAATTGACATATTTCATGAATTTTCTTCAATGGATTGTAATCTTTCTTTAGTAGTTTTTAAAAAAAATAATAATAATAATTTGAGTTTTTTGTAATTTACGACGTTAGTCCAAATAAAACTTATAAAACTTATGATTGAAAAATTAATCAAGGTGTATTCTTTTTTTCTAATTCAGCTTAACTTTTTTAACAGTTCGGCTTGTTTTACACCACGCGACCCATAAGCCACTCAATGTCCGAAAACAAGGTTTCATCCGAACTTCATGCATACATTAATTTTGTATTTGTATTTTCCTTGATTTCTCATATTTTATTATTAAAGCACTCACACTGAATTTATCGTCTACAATGAAAATTTCTATGGGAAAAAAGAAAAATTTATATCGCGTATAATAAAAGGTCGAAAATCGATTACAAAAATCCATTACGGACATACAGTGACAGAAATTGAGTATAAGTTGAATAAAAGCATGTAAAAATACTCATTCAAAAATTGGTGCACAATTTATCATGTACTGAATCAATACGTTAAGCGTATCGTTACATTTTCTTGATAACTTGGTTGCTTACACTATGTTAGTTTTTTAATTTATTTTATTCAAATGAAGATTGTAAGAAATGCCTAATCTGTTAAAATCCTACAAGGGATTGACCTAACCTGTACTGTAATGTAATTACAGCAATAATAACAATAACAACAATAACAATAATGATAACAATAAAAATAATAATAATAGTTAAAACAATAGTTAAAATAATAATAATACCAAAAAAAGTTTGCTCAGCACTTATTAGTTTCTGTAAAAATCACTGTTGTCGTAGTATTTTAGCTATATTTCTATGAAAACTTTTTTTCGTCCAAAAGTGGTCTAAACATAAGTAGTTATAAAACCTTCTACCTTACTAATCATANAATAATAATAATAATAATAACAATAATAATAATAACAATAACAATAACAACAGTCATCAATATAATATTGTAGTAATAAAGTATTTACCTGAAAAAAGACGTGCGACAGATTATCCTCATCTCGGTCCAGTGGCCTGAGAAGCCTGAGTCGTTTGCCATCGAGGGTAAAAAGTGGCTGGCGGCCTGTTAAGTTCAGCTCGAGGATCGTCTCGTTCGTCGGGTCACCGATAACGGGCAGCTCTGCCGGGACTGTTTCCTGATCGATCGCTGCGAACAAAGGATTTTCGAGTCTTAGACCTAAAGCTTCATTCATTTCAGGGACACAAACAATTTTAGATGCAAAAAAATTTCCTTTTTTTCATTGCGCATTGAAGTTGATGTAGTACGTTGGTATTTTCAATTAAAAGCTGGAAAAAAATGAAAAAAAAGTGCACACTAATAAATTATCCCAAAATGGAGTAATGGAAGTTTCAGTTTCAATAAAAAAATACAGAGAAAAAAAAACTATAAAAGTAAAACTGTTTTCCTGAATCAGCGATTAAATCTTTACTCAAAACTTTGCCTCTTGACTAGACTCTCATCAAAACGATTATACTTTTTTCAACATCGATTATTTTTTATGCATGAAATTATAATTATAAGAATAAACGAAACAGCGTACTATAATCAAAACTCATCTATCCAATAAAATTATGTTTGTTTGAAAGTTACTCAAATCAAGAGTAAGAAAGCAGCAGAATCTTACAAAGAGCGAAGGATTTATGATGCTATCTACTCTTTACCGTTAAGCTGTCATACGTATATTAAATTTGGTATATAGTACGAAAGCTTGTAAGCAAAGAGCGATCAACATCCGAGTACTTCATCGGAGTCTTACATATATACACTGTCGTGTTGATACCGTTGTTTCAAGGATTGCAAGAGTTGGGAGTTTACTTGGGCTGTTTTTGTTAGTGCAAGGATTTTTCCGCTAGAGCCACTTTAAGAAATCGAGCAGCTAAAAAAACTAAGGCATCCAAATGGATAAAAAGCTTCGAAGCTCAAAAGATGATTTTCAATGAAGAAGATCATGGGCACATCATCAGGAAGTCCAACACTCGAGGTCACCATCCCGAGGAATATAAAAAACGTAGTCTATTTAATGTATTTCTAGGCATCCCTTCAGAAAGAAAAAAAGTACTCCTGATAAATAACGGTGAGACACACACCGGATTGTCAAGCTCGTCGCGGACGGAAACGCGCGCTCAGGAGAAACGGAGACAGTCGCGTTGAAAAATTCAAGGGTAAAAGTCAACATAACGAGCGTCATTTTTTTTTTTCCTTTCTTTCTTTCTTCGTGCTTGGCGACGCGCGCGAGTAAGGCGGGAAATGCGGAAAAGAAGCCGAGCCTGCGGCCGAGAGGGCACGTCGCTTCGGAACTGTAAATTCAAAAAGTGCAGAAAAACGGGCCGCTAGAGATTATTGTGGCAAGGGTACGAGTATGGGATAATGTGTGCGTTCGAGGCGGGTAATTGTAAACAGGAACAGCTGCTTTCCCACCACGTGGTCGCATCTTTTTGTCACATTTGAGTTTTTCTCTCGGGGTGATTAGGAGCTATTTCATTCGTTGCGAAATGACGAGAAGTTCAGGACTATTATTTTGTACCACGATGATTGTCCAGGAGTATGCGTACGAGCATAGTGTCAGCAAAGTATCTATTGCCAGTAGATAGTCTGTGGATTATATTTCAATACTGATTGATTACCGTAGTTTTTTCCAGAAAATTAACAGGTAACAGAAACAGAAAAGGTCTCAAGCACAGTGTTAAACGTCTTGGGTTTGGAAGCAAGTATTTTCGTGGATTTGGTTTCCGGTATTTTTTTGTGGGTCATTATTGGGTAGAAAAACCTTTCATCTGAAAAATCAAAATCGTGAAATAAATGGTACCAATACTCATTGACTTGAAAATCGAAACAAAAGATAATCATACTGTTTTCACGATACAGTGCAGCCCTTCTTGAAAGATGGATGGGTCATGGAATGAAACTTGATAATACGAGAGTTGATTGGTCTAGTTTGATCACTTGATTTTTTCACAGTGGGAAGACTGAAAAGCATAAGACTGAGGAAAATTCAAATGGAATTTTTAATCTTACTTGAAAGATTTCAGATAATGAATGTTTCATCAAATTTTAGGGGTACACGTGCGTATGGGAGGGTTGGGGGGTCGAAGCCCTTGAGCACCGTACAGAAATAATTAACATTTAAATATTTACATGTGAATAGATTATTTGTATGAAGTAATAACCCTTTTCTAGCTTTAATTTAATATGAAAAAGATTATATCTTAAAAAAAAGGAATTTTCAAGAAACGAGACTAAGACACAAAAATTGCATGCAGTCATACTGCAAAAAGTAGCATTTCCACGAAAAAATGAAAGAAAAATCTAAAAGTTTTATGGTAAATCTGACACTGCGAGAAAAACAAAAGCTTAAGTCAGAGAAGTGAAAACAGAAAGCAAGTCTTGCGGTCACTTGTCCAACAATAGCGCTAAAATTCAAAAAATAACCAAGCCATAGAACAAAAAATCTAGACTCCTTGCGCTCTATCTCTCTCTCACAATACCTTTCTCTTGTCTGCGGTCGACAAAAATTAAGTCGCGCGAAAACGAACAAAGCTACTAGCTCACGTCATCCTATGCATTATGCATGTATACCTTGTACTATGCAGTAGGGGGACGTGTCATAAGTATATAAGCTCCGTAAGAAAAGAAACGGAGACACGTGCGCTTGTATTGTATATTACGTGTATACGTGACGTGCAGATTGAGACGTTTTTCGGCCACTTTTGGTTTTACTGTGACAATCTGGGGCTCCCGACATAATTTTTTTTTTTTTTTTTTTTTATTAAACAAGTTGTGAAAGTTGTGTTGAGTGAATTAATTATGAGGTAATGATGAGTAGCTGAATTTATAGAAAAACTTAATTTTTGCGTACAAGGGACACAAGTGTACGAATATTAATGCTATTTTTTTATTTTTTTCAACTGTTTCGAGATACTGATCTGCATGTCCCTGCTTTGCTGTGTTTCTATGCATGTTTTTGCTATTTATATACGTTTATTGTTCTTTCTAAAGATTTACAATTTTTCTTAACTGTAAGGTAAAAGAGCCAGTAGTCGATAACCACGTATTTGTATTACTATATATGTAGGTTCTACTGGGTCGTTATCGACCTTTACTTTACCTATCTACCTTTATTATGAGTATCCACTTTTCATGGTACTTTAGGGAAGCTGCAGATCTATTCTACATATTTTTAATATCTGATTGTAAATTGGCGTGTTAAAACCTAATTGTACTAATTTTTATAATTATAAATAAATACAAACTAATCTACAGTTTGTATTTATTTATAATTATAAATAAATACAAACTAATCTACAGTTTTAGCATCCATAATTTTGTTACAAAACATTTGTTCTACTTCCTATGATTCAATCCAAGATGTATACTAAAAATTTCAAGAAAATATTTATAAAAAATTTACTCTCTTAAGCTATCTAACAGATTGAAATGTAAAATTTACGACTAAAAAAGTACATTCCACCATTTTCTCTTAATATCTCCAGTTTTGACATTGTGTAAATACTTTTTGTAAAATAAATTAAATAGCATATAAAACTGTATTTACATCACAAAATTGTTTTAACCTAAAATGCGTTAGAATAAGCTAGTATGAAAACTTTTTCATTTATTTATTATTATTTAGATTCTTTTTCGAATCTGTGAGGTACAAAAAAAACTTCCAATGACAAAAAAAATGGTAAAAATGTTTTCATTAGAATTCACACAAAATTTTTTCGATCTATGTAATCAATGTAAAAATGTTAGTTGTCATTATTTTATTACGCTGCGGTAAATTTTTTCCCGTTAAACCCCATCAAAAAATGGCTTAATGAATTTCTAAAAAAATTATCTCTGCTCCTGAAAAACTTTTTTTTCCTAAAGCAATTTTTTTGGTGACTACATATTAAAATACCAGCTAAAAGAGTACAAAATTTTTATGACAATGTTGAGAGATTTACAAAGAAAACAGAGTACAACAAAGTTAAACTTTTTAAAACGCAATTGATTTTATAAAAATATTGTTGAAGCATATAAAATTCCTTATGTTGAAAATAAATCCGTAAACTAGACGTCACAATAACAAAAATTAGCAATAAATAAATAATTCTTAAAGGTGGGAAAAGGATCAGATTGAATAAAACATTTGAGACCTACTTAATAAATAAATACTTACGAGCGGAAAATTATAAATACTATTTTTTTAAATCGTGCTAAGTCTTTATATATAAGACATATTCTTATCAAGTACTTAGGCTCTAAAGAAATTATCAACTGAATAACAAAAACAATCTAATTCCCTTTTTTTTAGAGTTTTATTTCGATTACTTAAAACAAGTATTGACCGATTTTAATGATTCGCGCGTCAAATAAAGTATATTTACATCATCTATGGAAATCATAACTTCAATTAGGGATATTGTCAAACGGCTTAGAGCTACGCTTACCAATTAATGACTCTTCTCGATTTTTTACTTTTTTTTTCATAAAACCGTTAATAAAAACATTAATGCCACACTGAGAGAAGGATTTGTTAACTATCAACGTACAAGTATGTTAAAAAAAAATTGGTTTACATGTTCTTTATAACTTTTTAAATTTTAACTGCACACAGACAACATGTTAATAGTTAACATGCCATATATACGTTGAACCTGTGCCAAGTTATATGGCAACACTCGGGATACATATTATACATAAGTTAATAGTTATAACATATGAAGTTAATTACTAACAAGTCCTTCTCTCAGATCACATTTTGAATGGGAGCTACACGACACGTATGTTTCTTATCGATGAATAAAATACCGAATGTATACCGCTTTTGATAATTCTACTATTCTGACTAACGTTTTTGTCATCAAAAAGGGACGTTGAAAGGAGAAACATGATTTCCAAATCTCCACTGTAAGTGACTGAACCAATCAGCTATCAATGAAGTCAAAAGTTGCGATCGATCTTTTAACAGGTTTTTCGAGCTCATCCGCTAACGGTTACCCCATAAGCGATTTCCGATCAGAGATCTCGCGCACTTTCCGGGCTGTAGAAAAATTATCGACATCTGGAGAGGAGAAGAATAAAACGACGACGACAGAGCAAACACTCCAGGGTGGAAGATTACGCCCGCGCATACAAGCTGCTGAACCAGTTGGCACACGAAGGAGTCTCGATAGGCATCGCCGAACGAGTGCGAGTGTTACCACGAAGACAAGGTAGTACTTCTATACAAATTACATCAAATCAAAACGACTTGTATAGGGATAACTAAGGATGACAAAGTCACCGAGATAGTTGATACTTGGCGGAGTTTAAAATGAAATTGTTCTTTTGCGAGCAGCATATACATTTTTTTCTTTTTTTTTAAATGATAAATTTACGGGTGGGTATGCACGTGCCGTTAGAAATTATAGATTTGTAAAAACAGCGCGAGCGAACGAACGGGTATGGGTGTACTAGGAGGTGATCGATAAATTCTGTTTTTTCCAATCAACCGCGGGTACGTGTGTACCTGTATGCTGTCCTACAAATCATCTATCTCATCGGCGCGCCATTACCATACGTTGGCGAAAAATAAGTTTGGTCGCATAAATTATGCTAAATAGCGTTCGATAGCTTGTAAGTCATCTCGTGTACACGCACACACATAGCATACACATATACATAATATAGGGTATACTCACAGTCCCCTCTGCTCTCCTCGATGTCGAGAATGATGTTCGATTGGTTTATCTCCAGTTCGCATAAACCTGAAACATTAACGGAAGCAATATTTTATTATTTTTATTATAAATTTTACTTTTTTTGTAATAAAAAACGAAATTAAATTTTGTTTTAGGTGTCGTATCGATAAATAATGATTAATTCAAGGGTGTAATTTTTATAGCTCTACCTCAATATGACAATATGGAGTGTATGCTTCGTATCATACTGTTGTGGAATATATATTTCATGTCAAATTAATACTTGGCCGTCATTCATTGCGTGATTATAATTGTAAGACTGATCACCTGGTTTGTGTAAGGAGCAGTAGAATTCAACAATCAGATTTGGATGGAAAAACCAACTTTAAATTTTGTAAATGAAAATGAAGATCATCTGCTGTATAAAATCTTATTTATGTTCGAGTTTTCTCAAACAATCATAAAAAACAAATAATTTTCTTAAAGGAGGTTCGATACAATATTCCAGAGGGGCGATGAAGCAGGTTCAGGGGTGTGGGAAGCTCACGGCATAACCGACAGAATGTAATACAGTTTACTACTATAGCATGGTATACCTGCGTCCATCTTACAAGCCTAACCAAAGTTTTTATTTTTGCTTTGAAAAATTGTGATTTTCTCTCTAATTAGTATAGATACTGATTAAAATCACAGGATCATAAATTTGCAGTATTTGTAGTGCCAACATATATTTTTTGTCGATTTTGTAACCATTACTAAGGTACGTTATTTTTAAGTCACAAAAATTTTCCCATTACAGCCCTTGTTAAGTTTTTTATTTTTTATTTTGAAATATCTTAGTAACTACATTGCTGAGATCGTCCAAAAAAAGTACGTTTGTTTTTTATAACACATATAATGACTAAAATCGTCGATGGTATGTATTGAACCTCCTTAACTCATGGTTGATCTGTGAATATCCATGGGACCGAGACCCCTAATAAGTGTATAAAATTTACGATTTTATTTTACACCTTGAGTTAAAAAGTGGTATGTATATGTAACTTCTTGGCATGATAGTTCTCCAACTTGGTGTCAAATATAAACAGACAAGTCAATAACTTACAATTCAATTGTTTTTAACATTACGTAAAAAAAAAAAAAAAAAAAAGTTATTAAGTCACATTAGAAATGAACAGAACGAACGATTTCATATAAAACGGCGTACAGGTTGAATTCACCAATTTCATCCAATAACCGAATCTCCAAGCACTCTACCTTCATTTACGAATGATATAAATATACCGATCATGTTAAAAAAAAATGGCAAAAAAGGCTCCGGTGTCACAGCTCGCTGGGTGCCCATTACACATACGCAGCACACGCTCGTGCGCAAATGGGCTCACCCCTTCTCCCCTTCTATATTCATAAGCCGGACCCTGAAAGCTTCGCGCAAAAGCCGCGCTGCCTGATGCATAAACATAAAATCGAACGACCGCGCGATTAAGCCGCCGAGAAGGCAGAAACTAGAAGATGCTGTAACGCGAGACGGAGGAAAAAGGCCATCCTCGTATCTAATTATCGCACGCCTGTTTATGCTGTACATCAAATCCGTGCACGTATCCCTACGCGTAACTGGTCGGAGGTGTTAATTTTACCAATTTCGCGCGTTTTTCCGTCTACCACCGCCAATAAACACCGTATACCTGTTACTTTTTCACACTCAACACGCATAGGTATATATGTATGTGATGCACCACTCTCTTCCTTTATTGTGTCGTGTGTGCATGAATACATTTATTTAATTACATCGGCCGTGACAAGTAGCTGTCAATCTCGCGGTTTGACCGAAACGAGCTGTCTAATAAGTACTCGTGTTCGCGATGGGCACTTTTAGCGGTGTAGTCAACTCGACCTTAGTGACTTATGGAACTACTCGAAAAAAAATGTACGAAATTTGGAGATGACGTTGGTAATTTACGCCAACCTCATGTAAACCACGAAGACATTTACCAACTCCGGAAGTACGTGATAACCGTCGAGTAATTAAGTTTGCGTACAAAGTTTTCCTCAATCCTTCTGTTGCAACGACCAGCTTTCGACACTACTCGTTTCGCCCAGTCTCACCCTTTCTAGACAGATCTGGCCACCGATCGTCAGCGCGTATTCTCTGTATTTTCTTCTACCCCCTCTCACTTTGCAGGTTGGTCTAAATACGAGGAATTTACAGTTTTAGTTAATTCAATACTGATCTGGGTTTCGCGAGCCCGTTCGTCAATGAAAATTTAACGAAAAGTGATGGGTCGTTTTTTGCTCAATTATGGATCTTGATAAGGAAATCGAATCCCCTTTTCGACAATTTTTCATATCTTTTTTAAGTAGTTGCAATATTTATTATTTTTATACGTATTATTTCACAGAAGAAACTTTTTTTTGTAATATTTTAAAGGTTCCCTCACCAGTTATGACAGAAAACGCGGAAGCCACCTTAACGTGTAGTATCATGAAAATTGCCAAGAGATTGGCGATAAGTACGCGATAAACTTCAATAATCATACAAAAAGTTTTTTTCCAAAAAATCTGTTGGTATTATAAAAATATTGTTGAAGCATATAAAATTCCTTATGTTGAAAATAAATCCGTAAACTAGACGTCACAATAACAAAAATTAGCAATAAATAAATAATTCTTAAAGGTGGGAAAAGGATCAGATTGAATAAAACATTTGAGACCTACTTAATAAATAAATACTTACGAGCGGAAAANCAATATTTATACACTTTTTGAAAAACTGGAATACTTATTTATTACAATATTTTTTTATAACAAAGGACACGTTTTCACTCTTTAATAGCTGAAAGGGCTCTGACAAAAAAGTTGGACAAAACATCGCGTTGCTATGTCGAAACGAACATGGCAACCGAAAAACAAAAAAGAATCCAAAATGTCTAAACAACCGCGTTCGAAACACTAATCGAACACTGCGTAGCCCCATTTATCTGTCTGAAAAGGCAGGGGGAGAAAAAACGACCCCGGAGATAGCACTATCAAGTACCCCCGTGCTCCATACCTGCGGCCGAGAAACCCTCTGTGTTTCTCGGTCAATTAGAACGTATACACGGGAAGATAAATGAAAAGGTAAACTTATATGAACTAACAGCTATTAATCACAAAGAAATAAATACAGGCAGAAGCATACAGTAACACTTATAGGTGAAACGATAAATTTCTCTAAAAATTTTTTATATCTATACGTTTAAAATAATACAAACGTCATAGAACAAATATTTAGTTAGGTTTTACTGATAAGTGCCCGTGAAATATTCGAGTCAACGGAATTTTTTTTATTATTTGATGTATTTTGATCTCCTGAAAACGATAAACCATGGGGTTTGTCCTAATTTTTCTGCAATTAATTATTATTAACGAATTATGCAAGCAAATAGAAAACTTTTACAATTTTGGCAAACAAAAAATTTATTCAAATTCTTTGGCATATTTTGAGCAAAAAAATAATGGAATATATGTATATACCTAAACCTTACAGATTCTTAGTAAAAAATTTCTCAAGTTTAAAAAAACGCGTTTTTGCGATTATCAACCACGTATTATTATTCAGTCATAACGGCATTATTTTCAACTCTCATGGGCTAAAAATTTTACCTTAAGGTGTGCACTTCAAGATAAAAAAAATTGGCGGCGTGGCTCTTTTAAAAAATTACAGAATATTCTTGAAAACTTGAGATCGTGTAAGAAATTCTAGAAAATATTAATTTTAATAACGTAGCACCAATGTACCTCGTCTAGTAAGGAGATCCGCCAAGTTCAAATCATAATTTTTAGAAAGCAAACGTTCATAACAAAGTGTAAGGTGAGAAAATAATTTAACAGCAGACGATACTCACTTATATTGGGCTGAGGAGTAGAACCCAGGTTTTTTTACGTTTAAAAATGATACTGAGTGCAAACGTTTTCTCGTTAAGACGTTGCTGTATCTTTACAAATTTGATTCTGATTTTAGTAATACCTATTAACGTACAATGATAATAATTCACTGAAAAAAAACATAGAAATTTTTATTGTAAAAGATAGCGTTAACCAGAATCTAGCGTTGCCTAGGAAGACATACTAATGAAATTTATGTACGGTTATAATGTACATAAGAAAATCTCGAAAAAACGTACTTTTTTAACTACGGATAAGAGAGTATACTTAAGAGCAATACGCACCAACTATACAGCTCTTCTACTAACTCATACAGAAAAACAGAGATAAGGAACTTAATAAGGTATAGAATATATTCAAACAATAGCATTCAGTATGCATACATATGATACAATATTGTATATACACAGTATAGACGATAAAAACAAATCAGTTGTCTTGTGTGCATTTAGTTTATGTATGTATGTATACATCTTTAGGTGTGTTGTGACTCTGGTCATATATGTATTCCCCGATTGAATATTAAACTAATGCGCATATGTGTGCATTTGCATGTGTGAGCCAAACACTTGCCACATGCTTAAAGTAGCCGTTTTCCTTTATACTTACATCTGAATGGTGTGAAATTACAAACTATTAAATCTTTATTTGGTAGGAAATCGCAAGACTTGTAAATTTACCGATTTGTGTGGCACACCAAAAGACATACGCGTAAGTACATGCTTAGAAACAAACATCCATATCTTTCGTATTTCTTTCCCTCTCTTTCTCCTTCGGTCTATTTCTTTTACACATGTAATTAAAGACATGATGTAGTTTGTGTATGTTGACGCATCGTGTGAGCAATACATGAAGGTACACACTGCCACAGTGCAACGTTATACGCTGCTCAGTTCTGATTGACTAGCAACTATAGGTATGTGCTACAACCAAGTAAGAAACCGTTTAATTTAACCTCATCGTGATTACGTTGTTGATAAAGAGCCAAGAGACTTTCTGTCTGTACAACTTTTCTAGGATACATTGTTTGAATGGTTCCCGTACACAACCTATTGGTGCAGGTTCTCTCACTCCGTCGTTTTTTTTAACCTTAAATAAAAGAGAAGCAGTTCACCGATCAACAGGAGTCGCAAAAGGTGAGTTACAATTAACGTTTGTTACTAATAAAAAGGGCAGGGCCACAACGTAAGCAACATACATTTTTTAATGAGTATTTCACCGGTTTTATTGCACGAAAAAGTTTTCATAGTCAGTATTTTTCATAGTTGTAAGAATCGGCTTTAAATGAATTTGATTATCTTCGATATCATCTTTAATTATTATTATCTTACGAATAACGCTATAAATTATCCATGAAAGTGTTATAACTTATACTCATAACTCTGCAAGCGGTAGATTGTGCAACAATTTTTTTCGGCACTGCCAACAATTTGAGGACTGCTTATGAGGAGATTCATCGGAGTAAGCTTGTAATTCCTTATGAAAAGCTGTTTAAGATATGAAAGCAAAAAACATTTTTATGTTGAAAATGTGACTCTAACGCACTGTATCTAAAATTGTGTAGTGAAAAATGTTGAAATCAAAAGCTTGTGTAGGAAGTAAGTTCGTGATGAAAACATTTTCCTACGAAAATTAACTTTCTTCGAAACCTGCCTAATACAACTACGGCGATTTCGTTATCGGTAACCGTTCTAATCAGTGGGCCTATCATTGAACACTAAACTATCACTTTGAAGTGTCTTGATTCTCTTTGAAAGATTTATAAAACATTATTAAAAAGTTATGAGACATTCCTCTGGTCACAAGTTTTTTAGTATATCATTTTCGTCTGAAACAAGTAAGTTTCTCTACTTCCTTACAAACAACTGTTACCACTAAATATTTAAGATACCATTGCTTGAACTAACAAAAGTCTACTTCTGTTACAAGTTTTCAAGAACTCTAAATATAATTTGGCTCTTAATTATTGTGTCGCTTTTTATAAACAGTATATATTTTGGATCTTAACGGGAAATAGACAAAATTATATTAATAATTTCGTAATGCTCTGTTGCACCAGCTCATGGGTATTACATAAAATTTTTTTGTCATTCATATTTTAAAATAGTTGAGTTCGGCAGAAGATGGCGATGGGTTGCCATATTAAATTTTTAAAATAATAGACTGACCATGGAGCTCTTGTACAAAAATCTATTCAAATACTACTATTCGAGTACTCGCTTAAAGATTTTCACTTTGCTTCCTCAGAAAACGAGTTTTGCATCAATCCAAGAATTCTATGAAACAAAAAAAAAATTTTCAATATTTTAGGCGATCAAAACGAGTCATTTAAAAAAACAATAGTTTTCGTCACAAAAGCACCATTGTCATTTTACGGCTCCAGGATCCGTACTATAGTCCCGGTTGGATTGCGCTTATGTGGCAAACACTTTCGCAAGTTCTTAGATAAAAAAAAAGAAATAGAAAAATTTGCATTTTCAGAAAAACTGCATCTTAAGGAGTATACAAATAAATTGCTTTCCATTTGTTGTCTTATCAATGTACGTTACTTTTTTTTTATCAACGTAAAAGTGCTATTAAAAAGACCAGGCGTACTTTTTCGTAATATATAAACAAACTTTTATTATAGATATTCTTGCATATGTTATATAACAAACAAGTTCTAGTTAATATTTAGAATACGTCGTAGAATATTTTTCGAGATTTTTTTTGCATTTTTTTTTTAATATTTTTTTTTTTNNNNTTTTTTTAAGTTAAAACATTCACTAAAAAATTGAATGAAGTTCTAATTTTTAAGAGAAATGAAATGAGCTTAGATCTTATCTTGATCGCTCCATAATACTAGGGTAACTCAACTTTTTATAATGCTGTGTGCATACACCTAATACATCACATCCTAGAATTAAAACTTTTGAATTTCATGTCTTAGAGCTTCAAGTTTTTGCTTTTTTTTTGTACAAATGAAAATGCTGACGCGTAGCATTATTTCTAGCAAGGACTGTACATCACTTCTATAATATTTAAAAAATACTCACTAATAGTTTTTCATTTTAATAAAAAAAAGTTATTAAACATGTGATTCATATTGAACAAATCTGTGATGTTTAACCCATAATTTTTCTTTTATTTATGAAAATTATATAATGATTTCACGAAAAAAAAATCAAGAAATATGATTTAACTTTTCAGAAAACCTTCTTAAAAAAATTTACCTTTATTTTTACTATTTAATAAACAGTCCACAATAAAACGATCGCTTAAATGCTTATTCAGGTTGAAAAGTCAAACGGACAGCTGAAGATGAACTATTTAAACTATTTTATGAGACCAACTCTCCATCAAGCAGTTCAAAATGGCAACGTTGCGGTCGTTCAAGAAATCCTGGAAAGGTAACTTTTGAAAAAAAAACAAACAGAATTTCTGAATAAGAATATCCAAAATTTTTTGACAAATTTTCTTTGATCGCTTCTCCAGAGAGCCATCTTCTGTGAATAATTGGGATCTCGAATTCCAAACACCTCTTCACCTGGTCTACGATAACAATGATGTATTGATACAACCTCACAACAAGATGGCAATAGCAAAACTTCTTATAGATTATGGAGCAAACGTAAACGCACGAGGAAACAAACTTGAGACACCATTGCACTTAGCCGTAAAAAAACAACAGGTAATGTTCATACATTATAAATAATAATCTCAGGTAATTTTAACACTTGAAATTTTAAAGATGGAAGGAGTGAAATTTCTTTTGGACAACAAAGCTGATCCGAATATCATTAACACTCACAGTAAAACAGCTTTGCATTATGCAACACAAAAGAATAAATATATTGTAGAAATGTTGTTGGAGTACAAAGCAGACCCTAACATTACTGACTGTGATGATCAAGTGCCATTAGACATTGCCATTTCTTCTCACAACATAGATGCAGAAAAAAATCTCGTAGCACTTGGGTAAAGGATTAAAACTTTTGTAACTTTTTTTTCATTTTAACTTGTATAATTTATGGATTTAGTTTTCAAGTATGATTAATTATCTTTTGTAGTGCAAAAAGCGTGAATTCCTACAGGAGTCTAGTAGAAGCATGTAATAATTCGTATGAGTTGTGGACATGTCAAAAGACGTTTATCAAATATGTAATAGAACTGGCACCCGAATTGGATGCTTACGTTGACTTCTCGCTGAAATCCCTACTGTACTACATAGTATCGAAGAATCACCAAAAGAACCACAGGACAGAGGATCCGTGTTTTCTTTTAGATATATTGCACGAGCTAAAAGTCAAAATCAAAGACGACATGAATGATTCCGATCTGCATAAAGCTGTTCGTGATGAAGATGAAGAAGCGATTAAGACCCTCCTCAAAAATGGAGCAAACGTCAACAGTAAAAACTTCTTCGGCGAGACACCATTGCATTTAGTCTTACGAGTTACTAGAACTTGCAAAACGAAATGGATTGATAAAATTGCTGAGCTGCTTGTTGAAAATGGTAAATTGGTTATTAGAACTTTCTAAATCAGTTTTAAAATGAGATCTCATTTTTATTATGATTGTTTCCATTTTTTTTTTCCTTTTTCATTAATTGTTATTTGTGGTCATGTTTAAGGTGGTTGACTACCTGCGGATGGGAGTGTGAGAGAGAAGTCTGACTCTATGCCTTTTTTAGGTTAGAAATGCGTGAGCATGATTATTCATTAATAACTATTTTTACAAGGACATAATCGAAGTGACTGTCTTACTTAATTATTAGGAGATACTAATTTACTCTTGATTGCTGGCACTTTTGACCAAAGCTGACTGTTAATTGTATTAAAACTGTCAGAGTCGCTTTTGACGATTTCCCATAAGAATGCATTTAAAATTCACAAAATTTATTTCATCAATTTCTCATTTCGTAAACATCCAAAGTTTTTAAAACTTTGCATAATTTTTTTTTTTAGATTTTTGAAGCGCTGCACAAAATTTAATTGAAAACTGACTGTTAATTTCTTAAGGTAGTCAACCTCCTTAAATAAGCTATGTTAACCCACCATCCATATGCGTGATTCGGATAACAGTAAGTTCTTCGTTGACGTATTGGTTGACCAAACTATTAAAGTCTTTGTGTTTCCTAACAGCAAATAAAAAACGTGAAATATTCCAGCTAAAAGATAAAGTAACGATATGGTTTACAGGTGCAGACTTGCAAGCGCAAGATTACATCAACGAGACGCCCTTTTTTTTGGCAACAAGGATAATTGAAATAAATACGAACTTGTGTAGTTTGATGCTATCAAAAATCGCTAAAGTAAACAAAGATACACTTCAATGTTCTGTCAAAGAAAAGTATGTCAAGTTTTATTACTGCCATCATCAGAGTGCACTGAATCTATTAGAACTCATCGTAGCTGTCAACTTGGGGTACGAATCGGTCGTTGATCGCTTACTCAACGCGAATAATGTCGTAGAGGCTATCCAAAGTGGCTCTCAAGACATCAATAGAGTACTGACTGTGGCCATTAAAAAGAAAGACTACAGCATCCTTAAGATGCTTTTGGAGGCTGGTCTACGGGCTGACAGGTTAGTTGGTTGAAATCTTAAATTTATTATTGAAAAACGTTCTCACTACTTGATTATCTTGAATTTATTTATCGACAGACGTTTTACCATTGATCCACCAAATTATTTTGCCATAACTTGTCCGGAGATCAATTTGAAGATCATATGCTTACTACGGGAGTTCCAAGACAACGCCAATGTGGACAATGCGATAATTTGGGCTTTGTATTACAGCGTTTCAAAATCTTATTACGATCAATTTATCTACTTATTATTTTTTTTCTACGCCGTTGATTTACACTTGGGCAAATTACATCCCGACTTGATGCCGGCCAAAGGGCTGTTTGAGTTGAATGAGTCATTCTCAAAAATTTTCTCTTATTGTAATAGTGTGATAAAAAGACTAAAGTCCAATAATGAAGGTAGTATATCTATTTTCGACATGATCACGATGCCACTGGATTTGTACGTCAGGTTGTTGGACTACGAAATTCATTGGGATGCCTGTAAAAATTTGCATGCATCTCTGGAAAAAATTACAAAACCGAAATGCTACGACTACGTAACGAAAACTCGTATTGAATTGGCCATAGAGAAGAGACAGTTATTAGATAATGCGGAAATTTCTTTAAACAAAGCATTGGAGGATATTTTAATGTCAATTAATTATGTAAGTTTACCCAGTGAAGTCGTGAGAAATATTTTTATGCACTTCAATACAAGAGAATTAAGAAAGCTTGTAGAGGGCTAATCTTACATTGACGATGAATTCACTCCCCATGATTTTTTTTAACATAATTTATTTCTTGTTCAATAATGAACTTGTTGTAAACATATGATTTAAGAGACAATTTATATAAACCTCGTTGTGATTGAGTGTACTTTTTTAACTTTTTAAAATTTTTTAATTTCACGCTTTTGAGGTTTGAGAGTGCGCTTTAGTATGCTACAATAGTTTGCCAATTAAAAAATAAACTAATAAATCATCTATACCTTAAAAATTATCTTAATTGCATCTATATGTTTTTTAGTTCACTATTAGATAGTGAAGATAATGTAATTCATCAAACAACTATCAGACTCAGTAACATTTAGTAATTACGTTACCATGAAAATATCTTTAAAATTTCAGTAAATATATGACAGAATAAAAGGATCCATGTAATTTTTTGAATCATTACTTCAACTAATTCCGTTTACCAAATTTCTTATTGCTTTTTTGTACGGCTTACAAGTAGTTGACAAAGAAATGAAGATAGAACACTTTGGCTCTAGTGCCCCTCCTTCTGAGACAGTTTTGTAACCAACATTTTTATTTTATACATGCGTTTATCAGTACTATATAAAAAAAATATAATTTTTAATAAAATCGAGATATTTTTAACGAAGTCGGTTGAAATCATATACGTGCGAATGAATTTTAAATGAAATTGATTGGAAATAAAAAAATGTTGAATTCGGTGTGATAAAAAAAATTCAAAAAAAACTTAATGACATAACTTTCAAAAAATTTAATAAAGCATTGTTCAAAGTGTATATATATATTTTTTTTCTATACCCAATATTGATTATGTTAAATACACAATCTACTCTTATAAACATATTTCTATTTTCACTAATTACATGCTGTAACGTAGAGTCTATTGATTTGATACTAGAGCTACTATTATCTTACTTTTTATCTTATTAGCTAATATTAATCTTATGTATTCGTAAGATCTCAGTTAGGTTTAAAAAGTCAGGTGGTGAAAATAACTAGATATTTGTCAATTTTTTACAAAAATTAAACTACAGATTGTTTATACATAAGTAACAGAAATTAAGATAAACTTTTTAATTATTTTGTTGCATAATTCAATCGCAGTTGGAGTTATATTTTCATAAAAGTAAAAAGTTTTACTTTTATTTTAGATTTTCTCTCCATTTTTTTAATCATTACTATTTTATCTTTTTGCGCTTTGCACAATGCGCATGTTACATTTACCTGTTATCCCCACACTTGTATTGGTAACCCCTTAAAAATAGTTTTTTACAAACCTTAAATGTTAGGTAAGTTTGATGTATTGAGTTCATATTTCGTAAGGAATTTATGAACCTTTATACACACTGGCAATGAATAGTATTCTTCCTAATGAATCTGTAGCCTTAACAAGTTCTGAAAACAAGATATAAAAACGGTCTTGTTTTGCGCAGCATACATTTTGTATGACATTCGTAGTATAATACTGTTTAGTACTCGTACTTTAACAAAATCAAACTAAGTAATATTGACTTTTGACTGGAATTTCATGGAAACCTCACATCAAATACATTTATGCCTTGCCATTTAAAAAGTATATAAAAATGTTAGGGCAAACTGCAATATTACTTTGTTTGATTTTGTTAAAGTACGAGTACTAAACAGTATTATACTACGAATGTTGTATAAAATGTATGCTGCGCAAAACAAGACCATTTTTATATCTTGTTTTCAGAACTTGTTAAGGCTACAAATTCATTAGGAAGAATACTATTCATTGCCAGTGTGTATAAAGGTTCAGAAATTCCTTACGAAATATGAGCTTAATACATCCAACTAACCTAACATTTAAGGTTTGTAAAAAACTATTTTTAAGGGGATATCATAACTTTTCAGGAAAATTCCATTTTTAAATGTTGGTCATGTTAGAAAGTACTAGATAGAAACGAAATCTGTAAAAGATAGCTATGGTGATCTACAACAGTCCTACTAAATTTTTACTAAAATACAGTTTTAGGATTTTTATCTAAGATGCTTTTTTCTTTTTTTTTTATTAAACTACTTTATCATNGTGATCTACAACAGTCCTACTAAATTTTTACTAAAATACAGTTTTAGGATTTTTATCTAAGATGCTTTTTTCTTTTTTTTTTATTAAACTACTTTATCATATAATTCTTAGCAATTTTTTTACTAGGCTAACTACATAAATTTAATTACTTCTTCCAACAAATTTTTTAGATAAAATACTTAGTAATTATAAACATCAAAAATCCTTAATTTGTCATTTGTTCAACTACTTTTAATCATTATTTTTTTATGTAATGATAAAATCCAAATATTCTTAATTACGGTTATTTAATACCTAAGGTTTTCTCACAGTAAAAAATAATTTATCACGAAAACACGTAAGAAAATCGTAAAAGTGGTATCGAAGTTACTAAAAGAATTGTTTTTACTGAATCATTTCCTATTTGATTATTTACTATCCAAATCGCTAAATCAAATAAGGCTTAGGTTTACAGCTTGTTATTTAGGGCACTCTGGGATATTACTAGAGTTTCCAATCTAATCGATCAGATTATGATGATACTGTAATAGCTGTGTTGCACGATTCATTTTAAATGAACAAAAAAAGGATACTAAAAAAATAATAAAATTTATTACTAATAATTAATTTATTTCAAATTTTAATTTAGATACTGAAATTATTGTGTTCGCATTTAAGGCACACGAAATTCAGGGTTAGGATAAATAGGGTGTTGAAGTATTCTTGATATTTACATTTTTGTTCGTTTTCAAACCATCCCACGGTAGGTATCCTACCTTAACAACACCTGGTCATGTCAGTCATTGTTTGAACGGCTGGGTACATTTTACATACTTACAAGTGCGCACATATACATTTGACCTCGATTTGACTCATATACTTATCTCATTATTTGTATTATTGATCATTGAGGGGATGATTTCACTATGAGAGAGTCATATCCACCACTTCCCTTTTCTGAGGCATCGTTGCGTCTTCCTATAAACTGCATATCTGCATGCCACGGTGAAATGCTATAAACCAGTAGCCTATTTATATGATATCCTAGTGATTAGTTCATATTAAATACACCACCTAGTTACCCTGGAGGAAGTGACGGAGCGGAGTCTCGAACCCGAGTTTTTCAGGCGGGAATCAAGCGCTCTACCATCTTAGCCACTGAGAACTCCCAACACTGCATGCTATCATCTACTGTGAATTTGTGAAATTAGGAAGTACCTGTAGCTAATATCACACTGTTGGCAGCTCTGCTTGATTTTAAGAGCATGCCTATTCCAACTATGCACAGGAAAAATTTGGCTTGCAGCTAACTTAACGATAAGACCATTTCTCGGACACGCCTGAAAAAATCTTGTTTTGACCATTTCGAGATACACATGTCTCGTGTTCGTTGTTCTAACGACTTTTTGACCTATATTTTTTGGTAAAGCTGTGAACTAGTATTAAAGAGACTTAATTAAACCAAAATACATTAGGCGTACCGGCAAAAATACTTATTTTTCAGTATTTGAAAATTCGAGTATGCCAATCTGAAGTAAACAGTAGCGCGGTCGCTGAGGCTTCGTCTGCTTTCTCAAACTTACCTCGTCGCGCTCCCGCGCGACTTGATTAAATTTGTAACTGTTTATTATGCATGTCTTATTAATTTTTATACCTTTATTGAAACTTCGTAAATCTAATTACTGCGTGCCTAATAAATAATGATTAAGAAATTTTTAAGAGTAATTCTTTGACTTGTTTTTTTATTTAAAAAGTTATACATCTAGACATGTTATTTTAAAAAAGTTATTGCAATTTATCTTTTGACAGTGAATAAAAAAATTCAACTATTTCTTTCACTCGTCCTTTACTACCTCAAAACTGGAAAAACTTGAAGTTTTTTGGATGATAAATTTTTAAAATTAATTTTTCAATACACATACTCATTAATTGCTATTGTCTTTATTCAATGCTTAATAATAGTCTTGATAATCTTGGAATCGAAAAACAAAATTATATGCAATTTATGTAACTGGGAAATATCGAATTTCAGATTAATTCAAGAGTGCGCCGTAATTAGGTCATCCAAAGTATTTAGGTACTTCACCCTATGAATGCACAAAACATTGAAGATCATAAGTTGACTGAAAGAAGAGTTATTACTAAATGTTCTCCAGAGATTTAAATATTATCAATGGAAAATCACGTATTTCGACACTTATTAATACTGTAGCCGTAGTACAAGCCGTTTATTCAGAAATAACCAAAAACTGTTCGAAACTACTTCTAGGAATTACGGGTTTTCCAAAAAAACTTTCAACTATCTAGTTTTTAAATAATAGTCATCAACAAAATACTGTGCGTTTTATTTTAAAAATTATTTAAGGCATAATTAGAGGATCTTACAATGTTTTTTTATCAAGTATTTATAATTTATATTACAGATATTAATTTTTAATCATGTATCAACATTAACCATCAATTTCTAAGAACTGAAGCTAACAGAAAAATAGCAAATGTAAGTTTTCCTGATCTATTGCACTCCTTAAATCTTAATTCATACTTGAATTGTTACTATCAAAGTAGTTGTTATTACTAGAAAACTTATTTATCAATTGATGCACTCGAAATAGCAGAAAAGAACAAAAGTACCCCATACTTTAATTAAAAGTAAAATATACAGGGAAAAAGTCGCCATTGCACCCATTACATCGTTGCACGCATCGATAAACCAATAACACCGCTTAGCTCTACAGTCGATACTCATTCCAAAACAATTACCACGTTACCGAGTTTTATACGCGTCCCTCGTGAATAAATTAACAAAATGACATCACCTCTACTCTTTCATCGAAAAAAAAGCAGAATACGTGGGGTCGGTGGTTCGCATGAATAATTTACAGCTAAGAATTAGTTAACAGATAATTAGTGAACTAAGCGTGGAAATCCGTATTTTTTTTTTGCTTCTTGTGCATCTGTTCAAGACACGGTTATTCGCACATTTGGTATGTTTCATTGCATATTATGCAAAATGCACATTTGGTAGTACACATGCATACCTATGGTTGCACGTAAGATTAATATTAGGAACTTTCTGATGAATATAAAGTTCTAGTCAAATAGTTAACTCAACTTATAATTATATAAAAGAATTATGCAATTATGTCCCAAAAGGTTCACTGCAGTTTTTCTTTTCTGATTAAACCTATGATGAAAAATAATATTCTGTTATAATTAATTTAAAATATGGACATGGGTTTTTTATAGAAAGCTATATTTTGATGTACTTGTTTGCAATAAAAAAGTTTTGCAATTTTTTATGAGGTGATGAACTTCGAAAATTTGCTGCTTTTTATGATTGTTTGTACTCCAAACTTGATCATCAAAGCCATTCCAGATTTTGTCCGTCAACCCCATTTCAAATTTTTTATGGTGATATATCTCGATCTCATAAATCACTTCCCAGGGTTATTTAATGCTATTCACATTGTAAACTTCTTTAATGAGTCCATGACAAATTCATACAATCACTTGACTAAAATTCTTTAAATAATTGGAAACCTTGCTGGATACCTTGATGACTTGGTGATA